GGGGGGGGGCTCTCAGGCAGCAGGGCGGAGGGCATGCTCTGCTGGAGGGCGCTCTGGGCGCTCTTCATTGAGCAGATCAGGCCTCTGGGGGTCGGGTCACGTAACCGCGGCGGGCGAGTCCCGCAGCCCGCAGAGTTACGGGGGGAAGTCCTCGCCTCGGCGCAGGAAAGCTCCTCAAGAAGACCTCTCTGCACCTGCTGCGGTGGCGACGAAGAAGCCCCGCCGGGGCACCCGTGGTCGGGCCGGGCCCCAACCCCCCGCGCGCCCTTGCTCGCTGTCACTGCGCCCCGCCACGCTCCACCCCCCACCCCGGTGCGCCGCGCCGCCCACGCCCGCTACAATCCGCTCAGGTGCGAGGTGCGGGTGGTGGTCTCGGCGGTGGTGCACCGTCCAAATCCCATTTGCACACACACACACACACACACACACACACACACACACGCCGTCTCCGAGCGTGAAGATAGTTGCCAAAAGAACCCCCACCGCCCGCAGCCAGGCCCGGGTGGCTCTAAACAACAAAACACCGCAAGGGTACCCGCGAGGACTTGGCGCGAGCGCGGGTCACCAGAATTCTCGTGATTACGAGGTTGTGCGCCCATATTCCAATTTAGAAAACAAAACAACTTGAAAAACAAAATGACGCGGTTTTTATTATTGGGGTTTTTTAAAGCAAAACTTTTAAAACAATAAAAGAAGTCGATTCTGTCGTCGAAGTGGTTCCATGCGCACCGGGCGATAAATTGGAACGAGGTCGGTGATATTCGAACCGTCGTCGGCGTGGTCGCGGGGAAGGCAGCCGCACAGCACAGCGGAGCCAGGCCAGGCCAGAGCCCCCTCTCTCTAGAGTCCCGCGGGTCCGCGGGGCGCCGCCGCCGCCGCCGCCGCGGGGTCGGAGCCGGCCGCCCGGGTAAGATAATCCGAGGCATCGCTCAGCCCGGCACGCACGGCACGCACGCACACGGGCGCAAACTAGACGTACACGCAACCTAACCACAAAAAAATGCAAGAAAAACGAGCAATAACGTCTTCACTTTATCCTCAAGTCAAAGGGATTGAGTCTGTGTGTGCGTGCGGCTCGGGCCATTAGCATCGCCACGAGTCCAGAGAGTAGTGCAGCGGTGATGATGGAGACCATGGAGACGCAGGATGGGGATAGGGAGAGAGAGAAGGGCTGGGATGTGGGAGAGGGGAGAGGTCACTCATCCAGAGCAGCGGAAGATGTGCCTCACCTCCTTTGGAGGAACAGCGTGGCGCAGGCGCGGGGCGTACGATGGCGTCGAGTTAGGCCCCTCCTGCCGCAGGAGCAGTAGTTTGTGTATCTACTTCCGGCGACACAAAAGACGACACCCCGCGGCCCGCGGGCCCGCCCCGCCACACGCCCTCCTACGCCTCTGCAGGTTAATCAAGACGCCGCGCCAGCAGACCGACTGGTGAGGTGGGGAGGGGGGGGGGGTTACCGCTCGGCCAGCAGGGAGTGACCGCGCGCGCGGCGCCCGCGGGCCGCGGGGTCACCGCGAGGTCACCGGAGTACAGTAGACAAGTGCTTCTCGTTTTGCACGTTGCAGTTTTATTGTAAGCCCCAGAAAAGATTGAACCGTCGAGAGGAGGAGGAGGAGGTGGAGGGCCAGTGTTCCGATAGACTAGTGTGGACGGTAGATTCCTACAGAGATCTACTCTCCTGCGTGCTGGAGTCTGTGACCAAGGGGTGACACTTAAGACGAAAGTTGTAGTATAACGGAAGGCTAATGGTCCAGCGGAAATCTCCACGGGGTTAGTCCGGGTCAGCCCCGGGTTGAAGAAGAGGCCGCCGCTTCGCGGGCGCTCCCGCAGGTTCGCAGGTACCCGTCTGTTGCTGCCGCGGGAGGGGAGGGGAGCGGGCCGTCAACGCCCAGGACATTCCAGAGGGGGCCGAGGGGAGAAGAGGTGAAGGGATTTGTGGGAGGGGGGGGGAGGCAGCGGGGGCAGCGGGTCGGTGAACATTTTGGTTTGGTTTCAGTTTCGGTACGGCTCGGCACGGCACGGCACGGCACGGCACGGCACGGCACGGCAGTCAGTCAGTCTGCTCTCAACCGCCGCAGCTGGCCGCAGCAAACGTGTGTCGTGTTGCGTTGCCCGCTGCGTCCGTTTTAATCGAAAAATAATGACTCCAACTCCAATGATTACGCCATCTGGCGTCAAGAGGCGCAGACCGCTCTCGATACAACAGAAGGTAAAGCAGGATAAATATGTCAGAAAACTGCACCTATCAGTTCTGCGTTTAAGTTGTGCCTGTTCGTCTGCTGTGGACAGAGCGAGGTACAACAAGTGCTTATTATGTACTTTACCCGCGTTAACCGCGTAGGGGACTTTCGTGCTAAGTGTATTTTTAACAATACATTACATTCTTGACGTGTGTTTATTTCAGAAACCATGTCTATAGTGTGTTCTGAGCATTTTGTACTCACTCAAAGAGGAAGAGAGGTTAGGAGGTTAGGAAACATTGCGTTCACTTCGCTTTAATTTTAAATACGGTAATCTGGTTAACTATATTAGCCTTGATAAATTAGCAGCCTATTATCGGAGAGAAGTACCTATATCCAACTCATTATGTCAAACCAAAATTTTGGAACTTATACTAACCATCAGATTAGTAAGTTTAAAAGTATGAAGGTTTTGTGCGTGCAACATATTATTGTTAAAACCCTGCGTCTAATAGGATAAAAGAAAAAAAAAATCAAAACCTAAGAAACATAATAGGAATCAATTGATAGTGAGAAAAAACAATGAGTGTTATGAATCCTATGTGAACAATTAAGAGAATACAATGTAGCGGGTTCGCTTATACATTACAGTTAAACCTGTTTACGGTCCTAGATATCTTGGTGTGTACATTGTATTTAAAAAAAAATATGTGAGGGGTTTGATACTTTGACACGTACAGATTTGCTATAAAGTTCTTCAGTTCAGAGGCGGGTTTTAGTTGACCATAGATATAATTTCAACTTGCAAAATTAACTTCATGTTTTTCCAGTGTTCTGGTCTTTTGGCTCACGATATGCCCCACCCTTTCCCTAAAAAACATTTAAGGAAATAACCCTTTGCATGTGTGCAACATTATACAGAGCCATTTTCTTTTCAATTTCAGATACATATTATTGATTTGCTCAACGAGGGGGCAAGTCTCTTGTCTGTCTCTAAGCAATTCGAATTGCATCCACAGCATGTCCGCAAGATCTTACTTAACTCAGTCTCCTATCGTGCAAAGTTCAATATGTTACCTAACAAATCAAGTACCAGAATCAAGAAAACTCAGTGGTTTAAACTTGAACAGGAACTTTATAACTGGTGCCTTGAAAAGCAGGCATTGGTAAGTACCCTTGAACATTTCAATTATTCTAAAGAAAATGCTACTCTAATTATTTTGATTCAAGTTAAAAAAGAAACACACAAAAAAACACTTCAAAGCAAAGTTTTAAATTAGACTACATTAATAACTTTTAAAGGCCAGTTTTAATATTATATTATTAGGGTCCAATTAAAACTTTGCTTTTGAGTATAGTTTTTCTTCCTTTTTTTCTAGCTTTTCTAACTTTTCTTGCAATAAATTTCGGGGTAGAGTGTAAGTCTTGTCACATGGTAGTTTTTTGTTCAACTTTGACAATATAACGGTTCGATCAACTACCTGCTCTCTTAATTTTGATAGTTCTGACATTTACGGACCAGACTTCTGCTTAAAGCCCTGTCTCCAAATTTCACGTCATGCACTCTAATCTTTTTTTTTAAAGAGTACAATGGAGACGCAAGTGTGTGAGTGTCGCACGCTTGTAGGTGTGTCAATGCCGATTCTTACACACAAGGGAGTAAAGGTGTGAATTTTACTTTAAAAATTGACATACTTGTGCCTCTGTTTGTCCGCATGGCGTGCACACACCTACAAGTGTGCCACATCCACACACTTTGGGTTTCCGGTGTAGCCTTCCCCTACAACTTATTCATACTTCTCAATCTACAACCATTATGTATTTTTTTTTATTATTCATCCACAGCGCGAGCAGTTTAGCGACAAAACGATTCTGGCCCAAGCCGTTGAAATGAGTGCAGCCATGCCGGGTCTACCCCCCTTCCGGGCTAGCAGGGGCTGGCTAACGAAATTCAAAAGACGCTACCTGATTCCGTCATTGAGGGAGCAGCGGAACACCCTTAGGACACTGAACGAGGCAAAGGTGCCGAAGCAGGCTGAAGAAGAAAAGATTGAGGACGAAGTGATTGAGGACGAAGTGATTGAGGAAGAAAAGGTTGAGGAAGAAAATATTGAAGAGAATGCGAATGTTAGCAGAAGACGGACTCAAATAGTATACGACTGGGAACGCTGCAGGGACAACGAAGCTGAGGGATTTCCTTTTCGAGTGATGTCTCCAGTGCCTTCGACACCAACACCCGAGAAGAAACGCAAGACTCTCTCGTTAGAACAGAAGGTAAGAAAACCCCCAAAATCAAAGTGTTCAAACGCCGTGCAGTTGTAAGTACGCTAAGACATGCCAGTGCGATGGGTTGCCTATATGCACTGGCTGCAGATGCCGGGCGGGTTGCGGGGGGGTGTGGCAGCAGCCTCCCCCGCTAGCGCCCCGCGCCTGCAGCCCCTACAGCCAGTGCATAGGCAACCCAACGTACTGGCATGTCTTAGCCTGGACACCCGCGGTATGTTGTGCCCAAGAAGAACTGGCCATTGAAGTATCATTTTCTTTTGCAGATAAGTATTGCCGATTTGCTCGATCGTGGAGAAAATGTAGAGGATGTCGCCGAGAAATTTGACGTGCGTCAGGGATATGTCCGCAAGATCCAAATGAATGCAGCCGTCTTGCGTGAGAAGTACCGCAACAAGTCGCCAGACAAGTCGAGGAGCACAATGAAAGAATCTAAGTGGGCTGAACTTGAAAAGAAGCTTTATGTCTGGTGGCTGGAAGAGCATGCGTCGGTATGTTATGTGCAACTTTTAGATTTGATAAGACAATGCACTTTTTATCCTGAAAAGTTTATTTGTCTTTTAAGCAGAACAGTTCTCGTGGGCAAATCATACTTGTTCACTGTGAAAATTTGCACAACCTTTCTCTAAAAAGTATACGCTATTCTGTCAAAAGAAACTGTGACCTACTGGAGTTGAATTTTGTAATGGAGTACAGCTAATTTGCATCCCCCCCCCCCTTTAATTTTCCAGGGCAAATACATTACCAACGCGAGGATGAAGGCCCAGGCCCTCAAAATTCACGCAGCGATGGGAGACTCGCGCCCTCGCCGGCCCTTCACGGCACACAAAGAATGGCTCCGCAAATTCAAACTCCGCTACCAAGTCCCGCCACGGAACCAGCAGACGGAGGAAGAGGATCCGGAAGTGAGCGTCCAGCGAGAGGGAGAGTCATGGTGGGGCGGCAAGCACACGCCAATAGTGTACGATCCGAGGTACCGCGGGGACAAACCGGCGTCACGACCCGCCTCTGGTCGGGAGGCGTCGTCTTCGGCGCACAGGGCGGAGGAGGCTGGAGGTGGGACACCACCAGCGGGGAGCGCCATCAGCAGAGGTCAGCAGGGCCTCACGCCGTCCAAAGAGGACATGGAACTAGAAGAGAGACTCAACGAATTGATTCGGAGGAACAACATAATCGAGAGAGTGGTACGTGTCTCGCTATGTAATTCTCTCGGGTATATCGCTACAGTATACCGAGGGTGCCAAAGGAAACACCTCGGTGTTGCGGGTTTGCCTTCCTCCATCCGCGGCGCCCGCGACCAAGGGGGAGTAAGCAAACTCGCACTACGGGGTCTATTCTTTGCGTACACCTGATGCAAAAAAGGTTACTAATCGGCATTTTGCAGGCCTGTGACCAAGATATGACATTGGCTGCACGCTATGATGAAGCACATGACAGCAGCATGTGTACCGATACAGCCTGTCTTCAGTACTGCGTCTTGGAATCGTCAAGGGTCAGCCTCAGCCCCAAGCACGACAGGGGGGCTCTGGAACTAGTAAAACAGAAACTTGATGAGCTGGAGCGGAAGATTTTTTCAGTCGAGTTTGCGCTGGTACGTGTCTAATTTGTTGCTCTTATTATACAACTGATACATTAACAATAATCCTAATCTTCAAGATCTATTATTATTCTCCTTTTCCCGTTTTGCAGGACGCGAAAATTTTCAACGATTCCCAAAAAGAAGAGTCAATTAAGCAACAGGAAGAAAACAACCCACCAGAAGTGGTTGTATGTGAGGACAAGCAGGAGCTACTGGCCGCAAGCTTCCGTAGAGTTAGGAGGTGGACAAAAAAGCAGGACCGGTCTACATATCTCCAGTTTAAACCAATTTATAAGCTATTTAAGAACAAAGGGCAAAATGAATAAAAGAAGTATTATTTAGTTCTTATGAAATGACAAAAACTTCACTGCGTTCTCACTATATCCTCACCACAATCAAATTCCAAATTACATCTCAAATAAATCGTTAGCGAGGGCCTGCAGTTACATTAATGACTATCACGAGTCCGAACTAAAACCACGAAAATTCCTACAATACGCCACCTGTCCGCTACGTGGAGCAACGGGAGCGTACTACCCGCGGTACTACCACACGTATCGCCCAAATCACGGAGGGAAGGTCTGGCTTTGCCCGCACCAACCCGAACAGATCGGCACATAGCGAGGTGGGGCCTGCACCAAATAACACCTCGGATCGTACGTGCAGCCGCCAGCGGAGCGCACCACACGCAGCCCCCCCCCCCTCCCTCCTTGCTCAGCCAAGTATTTATTTGTCCATCCGCAGAGCGCTGCGAAGGGGCGGCCTGCGGCGGCGACCAACGTGTGCACGTAAACAGACAGCGTTATCGTAAGAGAGAGAGAGAGAGAGAGAGAGATCAAAAGAGACCGCATCGTCTTTTTGTTGCGCCAAGTATACATGAGATAGAAATGCAAGTCAACAAGGGGGTTGACCCGCGTGCCTTTGTAATCTGTGCCCTTCATTTTCGCGGATTCTTTTTATTTTACTCTTCTTTCGGTATTTGGTGAGGTCCGGGAAACGCTGTAAAGGTTCTCTCCTCTAGCGCAGCTCTCCGCACGCGGGCGAGAGGTCCTCTCGGCTTAGAGCTGTGTGTCGGGATGAAAAAGGAAGGGGTTGGGTAAGGGAGAGAGGACCAGGGGGGGGGGGGGAAAGGGGGGATGCGGACAGCGGCACGGCGCCCAGAAATAGCACGGCGCGCCCAATACCGCGCGAGTCGCCCGCACGCTTGCGAGGAGGTGCGGCTGTCTTTCTCTCTCCCTCTCTCTCTCTGCCCCCCCCCCCTTGCCTTGCCTTTCTCTCTCCCTCTCTCACACACATGCTTAGTTGAGACTAGAAGAGAGCACGCGAGTAAATTTTACAGTTAGAGGTTTGGCAACCCTGGGAATGACTCTTGTTTTGCTACCCCCCCCCCCTCCTACCCCCATCTCCTTTGCCTCTTGTCCCTCAAATCGCTCGAAAAACAGTGTCGACGAAGGATTCAATGTGACTTTTAAAGAGCCAGGGTATGCGCAACGACGAGGGTCGTTAAAAAGTTCGAGAGTCGTCGTACTTGTCACACAGGGGGCGTACAACCGAACAGGACTTTAAGTTCTCGCACTCAGAACTTTAATGCAGAATGCCTCGCGACGGAGAGAGCAGCGAAATAGACAGGAGGTAAAAGTAGGGGAGGGGGGAGGGGGTGATGCAAAGGAGGGCCGGACACCTCTTCTTGCCCCAGTTTGAGTGCGGCACTGGGCCAGATAGAGGCGCCCGCCCCGCCACACACACACACACAAGCGACCGGTGACACCACACTCCATATGAAAGAGGTACGTCCCGGAGGTGGCGGAAGGAAGCGCGGGCAGCCCAGGCA